TCTGTCACTACATCCTCGCTTGCCCTATGACCCCATCCTACAGGTCCCCAGCTGTTACCAACACCTCGTCCCTCAGTGACCACATATCCCTCCTCCTAGAGACAGGCCTGGCACTTGACATCATTAGGGACCTGCCACAGTTTGCCATAAACAGATGAATTGTACTGGAAATTTTTCCCCCACACACACATTATCCTGTCACTTGTTCATAATCTATATAAACGATCTAGATACTGGGATCAGCAGTGACATAAGCAAGTTTGCGGATGACACCAAAATAGGGCGGCAGATTAATTCAGGGCAGGATGCAAATGCATTACAGGTGGATCTAAATTAACTGCAGGGGTAGTCTGAAAAATGGCAAATGAAATTCAACACCAGCAAGTGCAGCGTACTTAATATTGGAAGAACAAATACTGTCAATGTATACAGCCTTAACAACATCAACCTAGAGAAGTCTACTTGTGAAAGAGACCTAGGGGTACTTGTAAGCCCGGACCTACGGCCTAGAAAACAGTGCGTTAATGTTCGAAATAAGGCAAACAGAGTATTGGGTTTTATATCTAGAAGTGTAAGTAACAAGAGTGCAGAGGTCTTATTGCAGCTATATCTTGCGCTAGTCAGGCCGCACCTCGATTATGCGGTTCAGTTTTGGTGCCCCTATTATAGAATGGATATCAATTCACTAGAGTCGGTGCAGCGAAGAATGACGAAAATGATTCCGGGACTTAGAAACCATCCATATCAGGATAGGTTAAAGAAACTAAACTTGCATTCCCTAGACAGACGAAGAGTGCGGGGAGATATGATAGAAGTATTTAAGTGGGTGAAAGGAATCAATAAAGGGGATATAGATAAAGTTCTTATAATATCCGAGCAGGATAGGACTCGAAGCAACGGATTTAAGTTGGATAAGTTTAGGTTTAGGAGGGAGATAGGAAGGAACTGGTTCACAAATAGGGTGGTGGACGAGTGGAACAAGCTTAGCAACTTTGTAGTAAGTGCTGGAACTCTGGAAAGTTTTAAAAGGAGGCTGGATAGATTCATGGATGATAGAGAGTGGTAGTAACTCTCGACAGGAGCTGCCATGCACAGGCCAACCGGCCTATTGCAGACTCCTTATGTTCTTCTTATGTTCACTGTTCACACTGACAAGTTGTGTGTTTTGTGCTCGATTTAGAACTTGGTCTTGTGTCTGGATTCGTGTCCAACATTGATAGATATAAACTTGAATTCCGTGAAAGACTTGGACTTGAGTCGTATGGACTTATGACTGGAGTCCACGTCGAGTACAGATCAGTATATCACTGACTGTATAATGGGGCGTACAGTACAGTACAGTACCATACAGGCGGGCGTCCATCACTTTGTACTTGTTTGTTTGCGTCAGTATGTAACTGCTGTTCTTCCTGTGACAACTCGGACGTGATATATCTCACAAGATACTATACATTTAACGGTGTTCAAGTGGTGGTTAGTCTACGGTACCTACAGTAAAGGTATCAAGCATTGTGGGATGACACGGGAGTTGTGAAAATGATTAACATGTTACATACTGTACGTAACTACTCAACAGTAGTGATGGGTTCTGATAGTTTTGGCCAATTGACTAACTACACTTGTTTCTTTCGTCGTACGCTGACAACACACACTACTGTATTTATCTTATGATACATTCTTGGACTTGACGCACACTTGGGGAGTGACTCTGCTAGTATACTGTAGTGTAGTATAGAACGTAACTTAACTGGCCGGTCGTTCTTGGTGGTGGACTCGACTACATACAGTACAGTACTGTACAGTGGCTAGTGATAATTTATCTTGACAACAGGCCACAAACAGTTGAATAAACAGATGCAGGAAATAAGGGTGGTTCATGAGTGCTCAGGCCATGTACTGTACTGTACTCTTTAACTATGTACTGTGTCATTTGGTGCATCTCTCTCTCTCTCTCTCTCTCTCTCTCTCTCTCGTGATGAACAGCGACCCGCGAGTAAATGGTTGTGGGGGGAATGTTGAGTGTTGCCTCATGCTACCTCTCCTCTGCCTCCTTACACCCCCCTCCTTACACCCTCCTCCTTGCACCGCCCTCCTGCACCGGCCCTCCCCACCGCCTCCTTACACCCCCCTCCTTACACCCTCCTTACACCCTCCTGCACCCCCTCTTACACACCCCCCATCCTTACACCTCCTCCTACACCCTCCTCCACACCCCTCCACACCTTCCCACCCTCCTCCCACCCCTCACACCCTCCCACACCACCCCCTTACACCCCTCCTTGCACCCTCCTCCTTACACCCCTCACCCCCTCTTACACCCCCTCCTTACACCTCCTCCTTCCTCCCTACACTCCTCCCTTCCTCCCTACACCCTCTTCCCTTCCTCCCTACACCCTCTTCCCTTCTCCCTACACCCTCTTCCCTTCCCCCTACAGTAAGTGTTCCTCAAACTGGGGGCAAGATTTTTAAGGGGGTCCATGGCGGCTAGTTTAAGTAGTGTATGTTTGGAGAAAATGTGTAAACTCGGATTCAACTATTTTTTGTTACTTTGTTACGGGAGAAATCGTTTTTATTTTGTTTTTCCTTATTTTTGTCATTGTGTGTAATCATTATACCCTTACGGTACAGTTTTGATATTTACTTAGTATGGTGCAGCAGCTAGTTTTTCATTTCCAACGGATTCGCTCAGATTGCACGATTCTAGTTCCTGTCAGGGTGACGGGCGCTGGACTGAGTCACTGATCTCACATGTTTGGTACAGGTCCGTGTGTCATCGCTTTACTAGTGGTGATCAGACCGAATGTTGTCAGTCTGGCTCAAGATATCATTAGGGAAATATGTGAGTGGACTGTATGTGTGTGTTTTACGTGTGATTTCATAGGCATTTTATGTATGTTTACGCACAGTATGTATGTACCTTTTGCATGTTTGTGTGTTTGCCATTCCGATTATTGTCTCATTTTTTTTATAATTTTTAGTCTTCTCATTCGTCTGTTCGTCAGACTTGTTTTTTTAAATAACTAGACAACAATTAGAGAGAAAAATTATTATTTTTATAGTAAAACCAAGAGATTCATGATTGTCATATATTTCTGTTTTTTCTTTTTAGTTTAATTTTTAGCCTTTATCATTTGTCCGTTTCTGTCTGTTTGGCATTGTTTTTTGTTTTTTTAATTTCCTTAGATTTGCGATGGCTGCCAGTGTTGCTAAGAAGCCGAGACTGCCGAGTTCCACGACAATTTAATACTGAGTTACTTAATGCACATTGGCAGAACATACCACATAAAAAACTCAGATCAGACAACAATGACCCTAAATGGATAAATAATTATTTAAAGAACATCATTGGCCAAAGGAAGGCTATAGGTAGAAGGATAAATCGTGGCGAAATTTACCTCCAGGATTATTATAAGGTATTGGCGAGTAGGGTTAAAACCGAGATAAGGAAGGCCAAGAGGAATAATGAGGTAAGGATAGCAAGGGAGGCGAAGACAAACCCCAAAGGATTCTACCAAATGTATCAAACTAAAACACGAGAAAAGATTGGACCAATACGGTCAGATACCGGTGAGCTCACTGATAACGACGGAGAAATGAGCAATAATTTGAATAAATATTTTTCAACAGTTTTCACCACGGAAAATTTAAACATGATACCCGAGGCACCGACTCTATTCAGAGATAGTGAAGAAAACAAATTAAGCGAGATAGTAGTGACTAGTAACGATGTTAGTAAGCAAATAGACAAACTAAAGCCTAATAAATCACCTGGTCATGGCATCAAAGGTAACATTCTTAAATGGATTAGGGCGTGGTTACAGGACAGGAAACAGCGGGTGTGCATTAACATTAACGGCACTAAGTCCCATTGGAGCAACGTCACAAGTGGAGTTCCCCAAAGCTCAGTACTTGGACCATTATTATTTATTATATACATAAACGACATAGATATCGGCAGAGACAGCAACATAAGTAAATTTGCTGATGACACTAAAATAGGACGTGTTATTAAATCTGACGAGGACTCAGCAAAACTACAGGAAGATCTAAAAAAATTTTCGAATGGTCTGAAAAATGGCAGATGAAATTCAACGTGGACAAATGTAAAGTACTCTGTATAGGAGATGTAAACAGGGAAACCAGATACCAGATGAACAACGATGCCATAGAGAAATCCGACTGTGAGAGAGATTTAGGAGTAATGATAAGTAGGAACCTTAAGCCAAGTAAACAATGTGTTTTTGCTCGTAACAAGGCTAATAAAATGATTGGGTTCATACAAAGGAGTGTTAGTTACAAGACTAGCGAGGTCATCCTAAAACTGTATCTGCTTTGTGAGACCACACCTGGATTACGTAGTTCAGTTCTGGTCACCGTATTACAGAATGGATATAGAATCATTGGAAAGAATTCAGAGGAGAATGACAAGACTAATCCCGGCATTAGGAACCTTGAGTATAGAGACAGGTTAAAGCATCTTAATTTGCACCCTTGAGAGACGAGAGCGAGGGGCGACCTGATAGAGGTGTATAAGTGGAAGTCAGGGCTAAACAAAGGACATTACAAAGGTACTCAAACTATCCAACCAGGAGCGAACTCGTAACAATGGTTTTAAATTAGACAAATTTAGATTTAGGCGTGAAATAGATAAACACTGGTTTGGAAACAGAGTAGTGGATGAATGGAACAAGTTACCAAATATCATCATTAACTCGAATACGCTAAATAGCTTCAAACATAGGTTGGATGCTTATATGAGCAATAGGGGTTGGGTGTAAACGGGACTGCCTAGTATGGGCCAATAGGCCCGCTGCAGTTTCCTCCATTCTTATGTTCTTATAATGATAAATACATTAACTACGGATTTCATCAATCCTCGCTGATGGCATCGAAAAACCTCAATGTGTGTTGTATTTCAAAGTGCTGGGGAACGATTCCATGAGGCCTAGTATGCTGAAGCATCATCTGACGACAATCCACCCCGAGTATGTTCAAGCGCCATGAACGGAGTTTGGGAAAACAGAGACTGGATTGAGAGTGGTGCTTTCCAACAACAGTCCTTGAATGTAGTTGAGGCATCATATGATGTTTCCATTGAAATAGCAAAGAAGAAGAAGGTCCACACGATTGCTGAAACTTTAATTAAGCCGTGTGCTTTAAAGATGGTCAAGCGGGTTCTTGGGGAGGCAAATGAACGAAAGATTCAGCAGATTTCCTTGTCAGAGTGTCGTCTGAAACGGAGAATCAGTGAAATGTCAGATGATATCATGGAACAAATGATACAGGAGATTAAATCGCCTCCAACTGGAATGTTTGCAATACAGTTGGACGCGTCAACGGATGTGAGTTCTTGTGCATAGCGACTCGTTTGTTAGGTATGTTTTCTTGCGTGACATCAAGGATGAATATCTGTTCTGTACACAGCTTAAAACTACCACGACAGCCTTAGATGTGATGGAAAAGTAGACTTCTTTCTTCACAGTTAACGGGATCACCTGGGTAAATTGCTGTGGAGTCTGTACTGATAGGGCTCCGGCGATGCTGGGATCGAAATCGGGGTTACAGAAGCACGTCAAGGAAGTAGCTCCGAATGCCAAAGGGGTTCATTGTATGATCCATCGTTTTGCACTGGCGTCGAAAACCCTCCCGGATGCCCTTTGCAAGATCCTGGAGGCAGTGGTAAAATGCGTCAACTTTGTGAAAGCAGGAGATTTGAACTCTCGCCTTTTCCAGAACCTCTGTAGAGGCACGGATTCAGAGCATGAAACCCTCCTCTTTTACTCCAAAGTGCGCTGGCTTTCCACTGGTCATGTTGTGAATCGAGTGTTTGAACTTCGGGGAGAACTTAAGTTGTTCCTGGAAATGAAAGGGAAGGATGATCTACTAAGTCACTTCAACGAGGTGTTGTGGGAGCCACGTCTTGCGTACCTGGCACACATATTTGAGCAGCAAAACAGGTTGAATCTCAAACTACAAGGCAAGGAAAGAAATGTGTGGTCAGAGACTTATGGTGGCAGGTGTGGTCAGAGACTTATGGTGGCAGGTGTGGTCAGAGACTTATGGTGGCAGGTGTGGTCAGAGACTTATGGTGGCAGGTGTGGTCAGAGACTTATGGTGGCAGGTGTGGTCAGAGACTTAAGTGGTGGGTGGTGGTGTGGTCAGAGACTATGGTGGCAGGTGTGGCTGAGACTTATGTGGTGCAGGTGTGGCTAGAGACTTATGTGGCAGGTGTGGTCAGAGACTATGTGGCAGGTGTGGTCAGAGACTTATGGTGGCAGGTGTGGTCAGAGACTTGTGGTGGCAGGTGTGGTCAGAGACTTATGGTGGCAGGTGTGTGTGTGGTCAGAGACCATGGTGGCAGGTGGTCAGAGACTTATGGTGGCAGGTGGTCAGAGACTTATGGTAAGTGCAAAAAATGGCACTGCAGGCGTGTGGTCAGAGACTCTATGGTGGCAGGTGGTCAGAGACTCCTATGGTGGCAGGTGTGGTCAGAGACTTATGGTAGGCAGGTGTGGTCAGAGACTTATGGTGGCAGGTGTGGTCAGAGACCTATGGTGGCAGGTGTGGTCAGAGACTTATGGTGGCAGTGCGGTGGTCAGGAGAGAGAGACTTCTATGGTGGCAGGTGGTCAGAGACTTGGTGGTGGCAGGTGTGGCTGTGAGACTTATGGTGGCAGGTGGTCAGGAGACTTATGGTGGCAGGTGTGGTCAGAGAATTTTAAGTGGGTGGCAGGTGTGGTCAGAGACTGGTGGTGGTGGTCAGAGACTTATAGGGTGGCAGGTGTGGTCAGAGACTTAAGTGGTGGCAGGTGTGGTCAGACTTCATAGGCAGGTGTGGTCAGAGACTCATGGGTGGCAGGTGTGGCCTGAGACTTATGGTGGCAGGTGGTCAGGGGAGACTTATGGTGGCAGGTGGTCAGAGACTTATGGTGGCAGGTGGTCAGAGACACCCATGGTGGCAAAGTGTAATGAGACTCTATGGTGGCAGGTGTGGTCAGAGACTTCTATGGTAATGAGACTTATGGTGGCAGGTGGTCAGAGACTTATGGTGGCAGGTGTGGTCGATGACTTATGGTGGCAGGTGTGGTCGATGACTTATGGTGGCAGGTGTGGTCGATGACTTATGGTGGCAGGTGTGGTCGATGACTTATGGTGGCAGGTGTGGTCGATGACTTATATAGGCTGGTACGTCAGACTTGCACAAGGTCATGGGCACCTCACCTCTCCTCACCACTCAAGGTTACTTATTACTCACCACCGACACCCCCCTCCCCCTCCACCATTTACTACATCAGCCTGTCCTCTGCCTGGTGTTGGTGACTGGACCCCTTCACCACATTGTTAATTATGTCACCTTAACCAGCCTGCTGCCGACGTGATCGTCCCAGATGTCGCTTCTGTTCACGTAATCATCACTCCTCCATCTGTGCCCAAAAAATCAAAGACCACCTCATTGGGGGTGGTGTGGGCTATGTTGTTGACCCCAGGTGTTGTAATTGTGGTGGCTGGCACAATGCTGACTCACGACAATGCCCCAAACGTCCGTCTGTCCCAGGAGAAAAGCCTCCCCGAAGGCTGCACAATCTCAACCTCTCCCCCAGCTACCGAGCCTTCTTCAACAACACCTGTCCCTGCCTGGCCTCACCTGGCTGTAACACAGCAGTCCCGGCCGTCTCATAACTCAACTACAACTGGGCCTCCTCCCCGTCTCTACTCAGAGACGCTGTCAGACCTTTGCCTCCACCGGTGCCCCCCCACGAACCCTCCGGTGACACGACACAGATCATATCCTCTTACACGAATTTACTCAACCGCATTGAAAGACTTTGATACACTCTGTACCGGCCATCTCCAACCCACAGACTACCCCTGCCTCCAGCTGCTACCCAGTCACCCCCTCTCTGGCTTGACAACCTGTAGCCCCCCTCGTGTGCCCCTCATGCTCACGGCCTACTCCACCGCCGCCTGGCACCACTGCTGGCGTCCACACCGAGCCTGCCCTGTGCCCGGCTGCCCCCGTCCACCCACCGCACGCTCATGGACCCGAGGACACCACCCCCGGCCCCCGTCCCCCACCGGCGTGCCGGCACCTGGGGCCCATCCACTGCAGTTCTCCACATCAATTGACCACTCTGCGGACATGCTAGTGGACTACGTATCTACGCCAAGAAGGACGTCCCCCTTGAAGCCGACACTACCGACTTACACGCCATCACATTCACACTAATAGGTATGTCCCTCAATATTGTCAATGCCTATGGCTGGCACTTGTCATTATTAGGGACCTGCCACGCTTTGCCATAAACAGATAAATTGTACCGGGATATTTCCCCCCACACACTCATCATTCTGTCACTTTATGTAACTTGCTGACAAAACCCATGACCCTTCAGGCTTTTACGCTCTTAATGCACGAGTCATAAAGGCAAGCATGAACTCCGCATGCTTCCCAGATGGGCACTGTAAACGCTTCTGCGCTGTACCTTGCACAGGATGTAAGGGGGTGCCCAATAAACTAGCCTCCTCCGGGGCAATGTAAAAAAAATCTAACCAGCCCAGCCTATTAAACTCTGGGCGGGAGTTGAGGGAGGATGGCCACTGACTCACCCGTAGAATGTGTGGACCCCCCCACCCCACGACATGCTACTCTACCCTCTCCCCTGTTACTACCTCACTTCTTACCTTTAAATCACACACACACACACACACACACCCCAGAGAGAGAGAGAGATCATGGTTCACATTTGAGCCAGTCGGTAATTCCATCACTAACTTGCTGGTACAGGGTATATGATGTGTTATTAATTTTGGATAAGTAACAGTAAATTGATAAGTTATAGGATCTTTTTGTTTTGTATTGTAGTCTTGCGTGCGAAACGATCTACATCAGTACGAATTAGCCAAGCTTGACGTGTACGAAACGAACAGCGTCCGATTGGTGCTGACATCGCTGTCCGGTGTTGGACAAGGCCGTGTTGAGTACTGTACTGTAGTTTATTATTAGCGTGTTCCACAACAAGCAGGGGAAGCCTCACGCATATGGTTGACCATTACAGTCGGAGATGAATGTGATGGATGGTTGTATATTATAATTTGTTATTAGCCTTAATATGTTTTTGGTGCCATAATTACAGTGCAGTACATGACCTTAACAAAATAGGAGTGCGGCGGTGAAGTGGATATAACGCTCGCCTTCTGTCCTATGGATCAGTGTTACGATCCCCGGGCACCTCCAGTCCACTTAAGTGTAAATAGGCCCATTTAACTTTTACAAGATGGGGAAGTGAAGACGGTCGAGTAGTGTCGACCACGCTGCCTCCTTGTGTACCAAAGATTTAGTTTAGAATACTGTACTGTACTGTATGTACGGTACTGTACTGGACGGTACTGTACTGGATGGTACTGTACTGGACGGTGCTGTACTGGACGGTACTGTACTGGATGGTACTGTACTGGACGGTGCTGTACTGTACTGGGTGGTACTGTACTGGACGGTACTGTACTGGACGGTGCTGTACTGGATGGTACTGTGTGGACGGTGCTGTACTGACGGTGCTGTGACGGTGCTGTACTGACGGTGCTGTACTACGGTGCTGTACGCTGTACTGCTGTACTGACGGTACTGTACTGACGGTACTGGACGGTACTGTACTGCTGTACTGGACGGTGCTGTACTGTACTGTACTGTACTGGATGGTACTGTGACTGACGGTACTGTACTGGTACTGAACTGGTACTGGTACTGTACTGTACTGTACTGATAATACTGTACTGACGGTACTGTACTGACGGCACTGGTACTGTACCACTGCTGTACTGACGGTACTTGCAGTACTGACGGTGAACTGGACTGTACTGTACGGTACTGTACTGTACTTGACGGTACTGTACTGTACTGGACGGTACTGTACTGTACTGTACTGGTAATGTACTGGACGGTGCTGTACTGTACTGTAATGGTACTGTACTGACGGTACTGGACGGTACTGTACTGTACGACGGTACTGTATTATACGGTGCTGTACTGTACTGGACGGTACTGTACTGGATTTGGTACTGTACAGTACTGTACTGTACTGGACTGGACGGTAATGTACTGTGATTGACGGGACTGTACTGTACTGTACGGTACTGTACCGACGGTACTGGTACTGGTACTGTGGTACTGTACTGACGGTACTGATTGTACTGGACGGTACTGTACTATACTGACGGTACTGTACTGTACTGACGGTACTGTACTGTACTGGATTGGTACTGGTACTGTTGTACTGTACTGACGGTACTGTACTGACGGTGCTGTACTGTACTGTACTGAACTGGACGGTGCTGTACTGTACTGTACGGTGACTGGTGCTGCG